AATGGTCGTGCCTTTTCACGACCATTGCGTATTTCGTCTTACGCACTATTCTAGGAGCTCTATCTAAGATATTGATGTCATAGGATCCTTCTCGTTCTTCCCTTATGCTTTCACCACTATAGCAACCGTCAGTGCTCACTGCTCACTGCTCAGGTGCCCTCAAAGCATGGTTCACTGTCAAGACTCATCGCCGTCAGTAGAAACTCCGTGTCTGGCTCGTCATGTCGGCCCTTCATTTAGCCCGATTCTTCAGCCGTGAGTAATGAACATACCATGTATAAATGAAGATTGATTACGGCGTCGGAGTGGCATTTCTAAGGAGGTATCATAGCCTGGGCGCAGCTGTTAGACGTATGGACCAGTCATGTGCACAAAAGGGGAGGCTAGATTATGTCTCCGTCACGGCTGGGTCATTTGCCTTTGCAGAAATTGCAGCACTGCAAAAAATGTCTGATTAGTTGCAGTGACACCGTATTCTTTCGTATGTTCTCATACTGCCCGTGTAATTGCATAATGATGCTTCAAATTTGCTACTCGAAAGAGGAAAAATTCCGTTTTCTCTGTCACGACTGAGGCAATCTGCATAAACCTTACCTGAGGTCGTTTACGCTGGATTTATTAAAAAGGTGGTTTGTTAGATTTAAAAATGCTAACCCTCAAATATTCAGTTTTAGATTTACTGACATACGGCCCCTGAAATAATATCTCAATATTATTTCAGCTACGTCTCAGCTATTATCTCACCTACGTCCACCGACCGCCCTCCACTCCCCCGCTCCCGCTTGCCGCTCGCTCTGAGGCTGAGCTGCACCCTGCCTGAAGTTGCCGCCGTGGCGCGGTGCCAGCACCTCCCGGTCCACATCCGTCACATCATCAGCAGCCTTTGATGCATGGCACCTCCCGGCGCGCAGAGTCCTGTTTATGCCGCACCCCGCCGCGAAGAGTGGCGGCCCCAGACAGGCGCCCTGCGGGACACCGCCGCGCGCGCCCGCCGCAAAGAGTGGTGGGCCCAGGCGGCTGCCCTGCAGGACACCGCCGCGCGCGCCGCGCCAGGCAGAGTTATGGGACACGGCGCGCGGCGGGAGGTGAGGGCAGGGAGGGACAGGGGAGATGAAGTGCCATTGTGTGGGGAAGGCTAACAGCTTACAGCCCGCGCCAAACGGCCCTCAGCGTCGTCGTCACCGAGCGGAGCGGATGGAGGTGTCGACGTGACCACTGCTCTCCTGCAGGTTTATGAGAATGTAGATCGCATAGTTTTTGAAATAATTTGTCTTCAGACACTGAAGTGTATGTACAAGTAATTGTATTCAAAGAAAAGTAAAATGTTTATATAAAATGTTCATGTACTGAAAATATTTGTAAAGAGGGTCATGTCAATGCGCATTCGACCATTCGTCAGGTTTTGAAAGAGGCCACCACACATGCCCATTGCCCATGTAAATCTACACCGGCTGAGCCGAAATCTGCATAAACGTCACTAGAACAACCTACCCCACAATTTACAGCATTCCCTTCTTACCTGTCCGGCCAAATTCCCATGGTCCGCCCCAGAATCCCTCCACGGCCGGGCGGTCGACGGCGGCCGGCCGTCATCCGCGGGCTCTGCGGACCTGTCACCCCCCGCCGTGGCCCGAGATTGGCTCTGTCACCCCCGCTGGGCACGTGCCGGCGGGCGGTGCGCCCCTCCCGGACCGGGCCGGACCGGGCACAGCGCGCCCAGCCAGGTGTTTGCCAATCTGTGGCACCACAGTAATGGACTCGACGAGCCGAGCTGAATGGATTTCATGTGCGCCGAAAAACAGGATCATTTCTCGGCGCGGCACGTTTGGTCTGACGTGAGATCAGAGGGGGGTGGGTGAGGACGGCGGGGGGCAGACGGCCGAGGACGGTAGGAGGGCAGGGAGGACGGGGAGGGGTGCCCTGGGAGGGTAGAGGAACGGTAGGAAGGCCGGTGAGTCGTGAGGGACCTTCTGGAAGGCAGAATCGCCATTATGTAAGCGTCTAGCCCCGGCCGCTGGCGTCAGAGGCACACGCCGAACTCGGAGCCAACCAAGCGTGTATTCAGCACAAGCAGACAACAAACAAATTGAAACGCCCTAGAAAGAAAAGACAAACAACTGTCACAATCCCGACACATACAAAGCCGGCACGAAATATCAAAACCCGTTATTAGAGAATGTGAAGTAAAATAAACAGTAATTATCACGAAAGTTGAAACCCACCGTTCAAGCAGGCGCAATCCAAGCACATCTCGATCCTCGCCATGTCGCGGCGCACCGAATTCCCGCTCTGGACGCGACGGGGGCTCAACGGAAATTCGGCTGCTCTCTCATTGGTCAGAATAAGCGGTTACCTGATTGGCTCTCGCGTGGCGCGCAGCTACATCATTGGACGAAATCATTACAGGAAGTCTAAAACTCTTCGGATAAGAAATATGACACATAACTAAAGAAACATTGGTACCGATCAATATCAAATAATAAAATAGTCATTACAAATCAGTATCATAACTAAATAGCACTAAACACGCGACAACAAACCAAGGACATTATTGCAGCGCAGGACGAATTTAGAGTTGCCACTTTCACTTCTGGTAGGCCCAGTATCCGCTCGCATAACATGTAAGCGGAAATCCGCTTACACCCTTCCTCCCTAACGCGAAGAGACTTCTCGATTATTTACACATACAATACAACGCATCGACCTACGAACAAAGGAACTTTTTTTTTTAACTGGACGGCTAAACATGTTCGGTCTCAACTGAATAACTCCGTATTGCAGCTCAGCTCGTGCGCTTCTCCATTCGCTAGAGAACTACCTAGGTGCCCATTGTACAGAGGTAACACTAAGGCTCGCTTGCAGCTGTTCTTACTACGATAGGAATCTCAAGTCAAGTTATCGCCCAATGTCATTGCCTTTCACCCAGTATTAAACATTAAAAACGACAGCAGCACACAGCAGCTCTGTGTGATAGGTACCCACAACGGAAAATCACGGCGAATACCTGTCGGGAGGAATGACTACTCGTGTTGACCTACGCAATTCGGGACTGCGCATATCTGCGGTAACCTGAGTGTTCGCCACGTCGGGCGGCACCTCTGCTGGTCCAGTCGGAGCTGAACCTGCTATCGGTTCTGCGACTCCCTCTGGCGTCTCACGTGTCTCACGCGCTGTCTCTGTCTGAACTGGGGGTGTCTGCGGGGCGAAAGATATGGCGAACGGATTCAGCAGGGACAGGGCCGGCGGTCCTGAGTCGTCAAGACTAGCGGCGTCAGCTGGTTGGCAACTAGGCCTACCTTCACACTGCGCACCACTTACCCTCTGATTGTCACTGACACCATCCATCCTCCTTCGGCCTGTCGGAAAGGTCACGCCTGCTGCTGTCCCGACAGCCGGCTGTGGTCTCGCGGCGGGGTCCGTCCGTGAGACGGACGCTGTCGGTGCGGTCACCGGTGACTCACCTTCTCCGGTATCCACTCGAGGCTTCAACCTGTTGTGGTGTACGATGAGCGTAGACCTAGCTCCTTCTAGTCTGATCCTATAGTTCAGAGGACCGACCTGATCTACTACTACTGCTCTCTTCCAAGGACGCAAAAACTTGTAATACTGACCGCGCGGAACGATTCCCTTATGCAGATACACTTTGTCTCCGGGTAGGTAACTATTCTCATTTAGCTTTCTATCATAAATCTCCTTGTTCTTCTGATGACTTCTGTTCGAGTTCTCTAGTGCTACTTTGTGCAGAGCACGCAGATTGGTCTGCAGCCTCTCTAGATACTCCGTGATGGGTCGGGTCCTGCACCGAGTAGGACCGGCGTACTCGGCATCGGCGGGCAGCCTTGGCTCCCTGCCAAAAAGTACGCAGTACGGTGACACGCCGAGGGAGCGGTGCACCTGACTGCGGAGCCCGAGCATCAAAAGGGGCAGGTGGATGTCCCAGTCTGAGTGCTCGTGATCCTCAAGGAATTTAGACAGCATACCAAGCACCGTACGATTGATTCTTTCACAGATTGAATTACCCATCGGATGGAATGCCGTGGTATGTGACTGCTCTATCCCCAGTAACTGGCACGTGAGCTTCATAACTTCCCCGGTGAAGCAGCCACCCAAATCCGAATGGATCGTCTTTGGCACCCCATATCGAGACACAAACTCTCTGACAAACGCCTGAGCTACCTCAGTCGCCTCTTGTGTCTTCAACGGAATACACTCTACAAATCGCGAAAAATGATCGATAACTACGAGCAAGTGTCTGTGCCCCTGCGACGTCACTGGCAGGCCAGACAAAATGTCGAGCGCTACTACCTCCATGGGCGATGAGGCTGGCAGCTGGCCCAGGGACGCTCGCGGGGCGGGAACCGGCTTGTTCCGCTCGCCGCAGCGGTGACACGACTTACAGAACTTTTCTATATCTACAGCCATGCCGGGCCACCAGAACCTTAACCTAGCTTGAGCTAACAACTTATCACTAGCGAAATGACCTCCCGTGGGTCCGGCGTGCAGAGAAGTCAGCGCCCCTGAGATCAGACTCTTGGGCAGCACTACCTGTAGCTGATCAGAATCGCCAGGCCTTCTTCTGTACACGCGGAACAGAACTCCGCCTACCAGTCGCAATCTGGACCACTGCGACAAGTATTTGCGACACGACTGGGGTAGATCCTTAGCTTTAGGCTTGGTTCCCGCGGAGACGCACTTCGATATTTCCGCGATATCCTCATCCTTGTCTTGCTCCGAGCGAATGTAGCTGGTCGACCAATCGTCTGACCTTACCTGAAAGCAGTATTCAGTCTCTGGGTCCGTCTGACATGACTGATCAGTCTGCTCGTCTGGTCTGCGGGAGAGAGCGTCTGGCACTGTGTGGAGGGCGCCTGGGCGATACTCGATGGTGAAGTGGAACTGAGACAAGATCTGGAACCAGCGGGCAAGCATGCCAGTCGGGTTGCGGAAATTGAGCAGCCATCGGAGACTCGCGTGATCACTCCGTACTTTAAATTCCTTACCTTCCAGGTACGCAGAAAACTTTTGCACGAAGATCACTACCGCTAGCAGTTCTTTCTGAGTGGTACCGTAATTCATCTGCGATTTTGACAGCTTCTGACTCCCATACGCGATCACTTTCTCCACGCCACCCTGAACCTGTAGCAGCACGGCGCCCGCCTGGGTGTCAGAACAATCACAATCAAGAATAAAAGGACCTGCGTCTCGGCTGAAATCGGGCAGCGTCAGCACTGGGGCTTCACTGAGGGCTTTGCGAAGCCGGTCGAACGAGAACTGCGCCTCCTCTGACCACTGGAACTTCACGTCTTTCTGCAACAGCTTGAAGAGCGGTGCAGAGATGCTCGCAAAATTTTTGACAAATTTGCGCATGTAACCAGCCAGCCCTAGGAATGAGGAGAGCTGCTTGGCTGTCCGCGGAATCGGCCAGTCGCGCACTTTGCTCACACGGTCGGGGTCGAGAGACAAGCCACTCTCATCCACCACATGTCCCAAGAATTTGACACTCGAACGGAACAGGGAGCACTTTTCCAGATTGATCGTGAGACCGGCTCGGTGGAGCCTGTCTAGAACTAGCTCGAGCTTCTCAAGTGTCTCCTCGAACGTCTTACCACCCAAACAAACATCATCAAAGTAGGAATGACACGTGCCCTTGGGAAGATCGCGCAAAACAATATCGAGCATGCGGGCGCAGCTAGCCGCGGCACCATTGAGTCCCATCGGGAGCCGAAGGTGCTGCCAAGCGCCGAACGGGGTGACGATAGTCGTTTTAGGACGATCCTCTTCTCTCACACCGATTTGAAAATAACACATGCGAAGATCAAGCACACAGAACATTGAATTTCCACCCAGGGAATCTAGAATCGTGTCTATTCTGGGGACAGGATAAGCAGGCATCTTAGTCACAGCGTTAACCTTTCGGAGGTCAGCACAGATCCGGACTCGTCCATCTTTCTTTGCGACAAAGCATGCAGGACTACTCCAATATCCATTCGACTCTTCCAGAACCCCTAGATCCACCAAGCGTTGTATCTCGGCCCTTACCTTATCCTCCAGGAATGGTGGGACGCGATGGGGTGCTGAACGTATCGGCGGACTGTCACCTGTGTCGATGTGATGCTCCACCGCGGATGTGAAGCCCAACCGACCATCAAACATGTCACTATATTTGGTCAGCAGCTCGGTCACCTTCTCCTTCTGCTCCTTACTGAGGTCTGTGTCTGACAGGTCTATCTTTTCACGCCAATTGGGATCTGCGTCACCTGAAGGGACTGGAAACTCAGCCACGCCCACTTCCAGTCTACCGATCTCCGCACGCTTGGGGATCGTGACCGGCTCAGTTGTAATGTTTCTCACAAGGCACGGAACACTCTGACCGTTTACCTGCACCATGGAAGGGACCAACTCGAGTCCCGGGACTTCAAGCAATGGCTCGCACAGTGCTGGCCCTCTGAAGTCGACGTTTGGAACAAAACCTGGAAAGAAAACCTCGTGTCCGGCCGGAACCGCGATGTCTCTCTGACAAATCACCTTACCCACCGAGAAGACTGAAGCGGAGATGGTTCTGACCATTTTCGCAGAGCTGAGGATCAGCTGACTCTTGGTGAGATCCAGAACACACGGGCACACGCCAAAGAACTCCAATCCCAACAAAACAGTGCAGTCAATCTGATCCGAAACATAGAATGGAACCACCACTACTTCTCCAGCAACTTTAACGGCAATCTGTGTACGACCGATCAGTGGTAGGGGGTCCCTGCTAACCGTGTGTGCCACTGTGGCCGTAGTGAAAAGGGGAGGGGCCTTGGGGAGCACATCAAAAACGGATTTGTGAATGATATTAATGCTGCTGCCGGTGTCCAGCGTCACTGAACACGTCACACCTCCCACATCAGCGTTAAATGTCATGTCAGCATTCAAGTGGACTGTCCTCTCATCTGCTCGGGCTGCAACGACTGGGCCATCCGGGGCGGCTGCAACGGCTGCGGCCGCTGGTCCTGTGGTCTGGCATCCCACTGATGTGGACCTGGTCCCCGCTGGAACCCTGAGACTGGGGTCCGCTGCTGCTCGGGTCTGGGGTCGGGGCCGGGCCCAGCCCGCTGGGGGTTTACCTGCTGCGTGCACATCCGGGCCAAGTGTCCTTTGGTCCCACACACATGACACGGCAGGTGCCTTTGCCGACACCGCGCCTGGTTGTGACCGGGCCTCCCACAACAGAAGCAAGTACGGCCGCTGCTGGACACTGGGGGAGAACGAGCGCTTACCTGCGGACGCTCCAGTCGCGAGAGTTTCAACTCCAGCTCCTGAACTTTCCGACGAAGTAGGTCTGTCTCGTCTGTGGCCGCTACCTGCCGAACCGTCTGGCTCGCTGCCACCTTCGCGGCGCATGAGAGGTTTCTCACCTTTGCCACCGCACTGTCGAACGTCTGGATGCCCTCGCCTATTAGCGCTTGTTGATATGTCGGTGGCAGTGATTGGAGGAAGTAATTGTACAGCAAGGGGTCCTGATCGGTATGTCGGGTGTCGGGAAATGCGCGACTGACTAGCCCTCGAAGCTTCACCACAAAAGCATCAAGGCTGTCATCTGTTGTGAGTCTCAAAGACCGGAGCTGGACCTGTGCCTCGACTTTGTCGCCGGAGGGGAAAGCCAGTTCCAATCTCTTGCACGCGTCGCCTACCTTCTTCTTGCACTCGGTCGGGAAGGCATCATAGGCGTCCCTCGCAATTCCGGACAAGCACAGAGGCAGCAGAGCTACTTTTTTATCGTCATCCCATCCTTGTAGGACTGCAAACGTGTCAAAGTCCGCGATGAAACGAGAGACACTGCCCTTACCGGCGAAAGACGGCAGACCGACCGATAGTGACTGCGTCGCCATGCTGAATGTCAAATTTGGCACACTTCCAACGGAAAAAAAAATCGGTGATGTAAGGGGAACCGCAGAGTCGTTAATACGGAGAGTAATTCAACAAGTTACGCTAAAATTAAATGCTCAAATTACTGCGAGAAAGGCGATGGAAAGGACGTTTTACAATGGAAAAAGAAATCGTAGAGCCAGCATTACCTCGTTACAGTGAGACCGCAACACTTTACCAGCAACCAACATCACACCTTCCCAAACCAAGCACATACATGACACACAGTATCAATGAAACACCCTTGTCACCACTCATATCCCCAACCACCAAATGTTTATGTCCACGTCAGCCCAGTTGGGCACACCTCAGCTTCAATTGTCCACGTGCGTCTTCATAAGGGGGGGGGGGGGTAGTGCGCGCATTGTCACCGGAGAATACCACGCACGGCGTCCTCGGCAGGGGGGGGGGAAGCACCTGAGTCTCCGGGGGGTCAGAAGGTGCTCGTGTCCGCAACAGGGGGGAGTGCACTCGTTCCAGTCTCCATCGGGAGTGGCCGGTAGTCCTCGGACCGCGAGGCAGGATTACCCGCTCCAACAATGGTCAAAGGGCGATCGCTTAGATCGGGTGACACAAACGTTCAGGCACATCCCGCTATCGGATTCAGGCACATCCCGCTATCGGATAAGTCCGAACTGGATAGGTCTCACCGGCGTGTAGACGCTGAGCAGTCAGCTGTCGCGCTCGGAGAATCTTATACTGACGCCAGATGTAGGCCGTCGCGCTCGGAGAATCCTACTGACGCCAGATGCAGGCCGTCAAGCTTAGGCCGTCGAGCTCAGAGCATCCCACCGCTGCCACCAGATGTAAGCGTCTAGCCCCGGCCGCTGGCGTCAGAGGCACACGCCGAACTCGGAGCCAACCAAGCGTGTATTCAGCACAAGCAGACAACAAACAAATTGAAACGCCCTAGAAAGAAAAGACAAACAACTGTCACAATCCCGACACATACAAAGCCGGCACGAAATATCAAAACCCGTTATTAGAGAATGTGAAGTAAAATAAACAGTAATTATCACGAAAGTTGAAACCCACCGTTCAAGCAGGCGCAATCCAAGCACATCTCGATCCTCGCCATGTCGCGGCGCACCGAATTCCCGCTCTGGACGCGACGGGGGCTCAACGGAAATTCGGCTGCTCTCTCATTGGTCAGAATAAGCGGTTACCTGATTGGCTCTCGCGTGGCGCGCAGCTACATCATTGGACGAAATCATTACAGGAAGTCTAAAACTCTTCGGATAAGAAATATGACACATAACTAAAGAAACATTGGTACCGATCAATATCAAATAATAAAATAGTCATTACAAATCAGTATCATAACTAAATAGCACTAAACACGCGACAACAAACCAAGGACATTATTGCAGCGCAGGACGAATTTAGAGTTGCCACTTTCACTTCTGGTAGGCCCAGTATCCGCTCGCATAACATGTAAGCGGAAATCCGCTTACAATTACACTGAGAACGCGAATCTAGATATTTCTGGAATAGAAATGTTAATTTTGAAACGAAACTGCGGAAAAGAGTCAGAGAAAGAGGGAGAGAGAGGAGAGATAGAAAGAGAGAGAGAGAGAGAGAGAGAGAGAAAGAGAGAGAGAGAGAGAGAGAGAGAGAGAGAGAGAGAGAGAGAGAGAGAGAGAGAGAGAGAGAGAGAGAGAGAGAGAGAGAGAGAGAGAGAAGAGAGGCGCGCTAATGCACACTAGATATCACACTAGTTTTAAATCTATACGCGTCTAATTACAAGCGGCGGCCGATGAAACGAATCACGATAAATAGCCTTCTCAGTCTCGAAAACCCACCAGCCGATGAAGGGGTTCGCCGCGTCAGCGTAGGATGACTCTGTCAAATTAGAGCACCTCCGCGGGCGGAGCGTCTAAAAAGCCACCGGCCCACCGCTCCAACCCATTTATAACCGGGCCAACATAGATTACCGGCTAAATGGCCTGCTCTCGGACGTTTTATGCCATCGCCTCTAACGACGTGTGGCGTGAACGACACCGGAGTGATGATTTTTCCAGGCGTCCGGCACCTTCCATCCCCAGTCGGGGTGTGATGAATGGCCCGACAGAGTGGCATAATTCCTCTCGGAAAGGCCTGATAAATGGTCGGCCGGTGATCGAAGAAGCGGCCTCCAGTGATACGGAGTGGTGCCGTAAATCTGCGGCCGGAGAAAAATGATCGCCACCGGTGCTGATCATAATTGATACACAGGCCCGAACTGCGCCTCGCCAGCCGACGGAATGGTC